TTGAAGACATGCTTCAACTTAAATACAGAGCCCAGATGTCAAGAATGGGAGGTTGATTTTTCATTCGTTTGTTTTCTCTCTACAGTATTTTGAGAAACGCTCTATCAAACAACTAGCTGATTACTAAGCAAATGAAACAGAGACTTCAGTGAACACACATGCCAAATAATACAGTCTTTACAAAAATAGTCTAGAAAGTCACTAAACAAACTACAGCCCACAAGAAGTAAAAATGACTAACCCTAAGGTGGGAAGAGACTCCAGTTTTGAGTTACCACATTGTAATATTCAAGATGCATGCTTTTCAACAATAAAATATGCTGCACACAAAGAAATAAGAAAGTCTGAATCATTCACAGGGAAAAATGAAATTCACAGGGAAAAAAGAAATCTGAATTATTCTGTAAATAATTCACAGGAATCTAGATTCTTCCGTGGAATAATTCACAGAAACGTGAATCATTCTGTGAAATAATTCCAATGTCTGGGAGGAAGCTATCCTCCTGCCTCTGCCTCCCTAAGAGCTGGGATTACAGGTGTGAACCACAACATCTGGCCCAACTGATTTTTGTAGAATGTCAAGATCATTCAATGGAGAAAAAATTGTACAACAAATGGTACTGGGACAACTGAACATCCACAGGCAAAAGAATGAAGCTGAATTCTTAACTCATACTATATTCAAAAAAACTCAAAATGGATGATCAATCACCTAAATATGAGCTAAAACTATAAAACACAAGAAAACAAAGAATAAATCTTTGTGACCTTGGATTTGGCAATGGTTTCTTGCTCTGACAACAAAAGCACAAGCAACAAATTAAAAATAAATAAATTGGACTTCATCAAAATTAAAAATTTTTCATGCCTCAAAGGGCACTATCAAGAAAGTGAAAAGACAGTCCAAAAAATTGAAGAAAATATTTGAAAACCACATATCTGATAAGGGTCAAGTATCCAAAATACATAAAAACTCTTACAACTGAACAAATAAATATAAACAGTCTCATTTTAAAACTGCCAGAGGCCAGGAACAGTGGGTCATGCCTATAATCCCAGCACTTTGGGAGGCCAAGGCAGGCTGATCACTCGAGGCCAGGAGTTCAAGACCAGCCTGGCCAACATGGTGAAACTCTGTCTCTACTAAAAATACAAAAATTAGCTAGGCCGTCGTGGTGCATACCTGTAATCCCAGCTGAGGCACGAGAATTGCTTGAATCCAGGAAGCAAAGGCTGCAGTAAGCCAAGATCATACCTCTGCACTCCAGCCTGGGTGTCACAATGAGACTCTGTCTCAAAAACAACAAACAAAAAATGGCAAAGGTTTAACTAGACATTACTCCAAAAAAGATATACAAACAGCCAGGAAATATATGAAAAGATGTTCAACATGATTCGTTATTAGGAAAATGCAAATCAAAACCACAAGATACTACTTCATGCCCACTAGGCTATAATCTAAAAATTTAAAATGGAAAATAACAAGTGTTCATGAAGATGTAGAGAAGCTGGAACCCTCATACATTGTTGACATGAATTTAAAATGTTGCAGTTTCTGTGGAAAACAATTTGGTGCTTCCTCAGAATGTTAAAGATAGAATTATCATATGACCCACTCGGGTGTACCCAGAATTAAGAACAGGTGTCAAAAACGTGTATACAAATATTTCTAACAGCATTCTACACAATAGCCAAACAATGGAAACAACCCACATGTCTATCAACTGATGTATCATTTAAAAAGCCAGGCCTATTCATAAACAGAAAATCATTCAGCTATAAAAAGGAATGGATTCAGCAGGTCATGGACTCTTAAAAAATAAAAAAAGAGAATGGATTCCTGATACATCTTACAAAATGGAGGAATGTAAAAAACATTAAGCTCAGAAGCCAGTCACAAAAAGTAACACACTGAATCATCCATTAATATGAAATATACAGAATGAAGAAGTCCATAAAGACAGGAAGGATTGTGACTATCAGGGACTGGGAGAAAAAGGACATAGAGAGACTGCTATATGAGTATGAGATTTCCTTTTGGGGTGATTAAAAAGTTCTGGAACTAGATAGTACTGATGGTTGCACAACATGGTGAATGTACTAAATGTCACTGGATTGTACAGTTTACACTTTAATTATTTTTTTTATTAGAGCCAGGGTCTTGCTATGTTGTCCAGGCTGGTTTTGAACTCCTGGCCTCAAACTGTCCTCCCACCTCAGCCTCCCAAAGAGCTGGCATTACAGGTGTGGGCCACCAAGCCTGGCTATACTCTTTAAAATGGTCAAAATGGCAAATCTTATGTGGCATGTATTTTACCAAAATTTTTGAAAGACATTTCAGAAAAAAATGCAACTACATGGGGAAAAAATATTGATACTGTTTGCATCTTTCAATCTTTACGTCTATGTTCATGGTTTTTGATTGCTTAAATGTTGCCAGACTTTCATTTTATCTTAGCTAATACCTTGTACAAAAACACAGCAAGTAGGTTTTAAAAAATTTTTATGTGAACCATAATAAATGGATTTCTGCTTGGGGCATAAAAAAATATATTTAGCCTTTGTCCCAAGTTCCTGGAACTTGTAAAACCTTTGCAATTTCCCATTGTCTTCTGTTATTCATAATAAGCACCTTTTAGTCACACCTGGGTTTATGTTAATGAGACTCTTGGTGGGCACCTAGATAGCTTCAGGAAGGAGGCTAGTTGCCAGAGGAACCAACCATGTGCTTAGAGGGTTGGAATTTTCAGCCCCATACCCTGACATCTGCGGAGACAAGCTTAAAAATGAGTTATTCACTAATGGCCAATTACTAAATCAATGATGGGTATGTAACGGAACCTCCATCAAAACCCTAAATGATGGGGCTCAGAGTGCTTCTGGATTGGCCAACACATCCTGTCCTGGGAGAATAGTGCACTCCATGGAAACAAAAGCTCCTGTGCTTGGGACCTCCAGTCCTCACCCCAAGTACTTCTTCATCTGGCCATTCATTTGTATCTTTGACAACAAAATGGTAACAGTAACGTGTTCCCCTCAGTTCTGTGCCATTTTAGCAAATTACTGAGCTGGAAGAGGGGGTCATGGGAACCCCCAATTTGTAGCCATGTCACGAAGAAGCATGGTTAACCCAGGGACCCTCTACTTATGACTGGTGTCTGAAGTGTGGGGCAGACATGTGGAACTGAGCCCTTAACCTGTGGGGTCTTCACTAATTCTGGAAGTATCCATTAAAACTGTAGGACACTGAGTTGATGTCTGCAGAGAATTGGAGAATAGTGTGAAAAACCAACACATTTGGTATCAAAGGTCTTGTGAAAAGCAATTTTTCTTCACTACCAATAACAGGTGATGATACAGATATAATCTGTGATAACTCTATTTTCTCTGTACTCAGTTATACTGTCCTGATGTCCACAAATAGATTCTGCTGTATGACTTATTGAAGAAATCACCTAGAAATGTTGAAATTGTTCAAGGATTCAGGGACTTTAGCTAAAACTGTTAAAAAATTCAGGGACAATAAATCCTTAACATGCAAAAAAAGAGACAGAGAGAAATTTCAGATTTTTAAAAATCTGATTTCTAACTTTTTGAAGACTCAGAATATTTGGCATTACTGGAACTGCTTTCCTGCCTACCCAGATTTGCTACAGCTGAGGCTGCCTTGTTTAGGTAGGGCATATACTCTTCAATTCTCCATCCTCCCTACTCCTTGTTGTCACTCTGAGCAGCCTCATTCATCTGACTCTAAGGACATTTGAGTATCTCTGGGCCTGCATGGATGCTTTTGAGGATTTGAAGTTGGCTGGTGATGGTAAGTCTCATTTACTAGCAATTGCTTTTCGCCGGGAACATGAGGATCTGAAGGAACAGTGATGCTCCCAGTCCAAGTATCTTAAATAACTGTACCACATTCAGAAAACCTCCAGTGGTTCATTCTAAACTAAATGCAGACTAGCTTCTGTTCTAAGACGGCTAGGGGCCAGAGACAACATTTGCCTTACAGAGCTCACAGGTAGGCATGGTAAAGAGGTGTGTGGTGCTTGGGGGAGGGCAGAAGTTATCATGCGCTTGTCTTACCCATGTTTTCTGGTCCCTTTCTTACTACTTACTATTGGGCCTGCTCTTCTTCAGCTTCCTGATACTTAGTTTGCCTGTTCCTTTTATTGCTCACAATTTTTTAAAGTGGTGAGATTCCCTTCTAAAAAGTGTCTTGTGGCTTCCAGGATTTTCATCAGAGACCTTGAAAAGCACCAATGAGACCGGGGAATCCAAGGCAGCCACCCTCCTTCAGGACCTGAAAAGTCATGTTTGTGGAAGAGTTCCAGTTATTACAAAATAGGAACCGTGTAACATGCTATCGTGTTGACATTTTATATGAAGGGAATCTACAGTAAATGTTATTTTCAACAGCTGAATAATATCCCATGTCCACATATTTAACAATGCGATATGCAAAAAACTTACTAATTTTAACTCTTAGAGTACTACTGAGACTAAATATCTCTTCTTACTTTAACATTTTTTTTCTGAATCTGTTTAATAGCTGCCTGTTACTGTGTCTAAATTACTTACCTTTAGATATTAATGTTTTAAGAGACAGGGTCTCACTGCCACTCAGGTAGCTAGAACTGCAGGCACATACCACCACGCCTGGCTAATTTTTTAATTTTTTGTAGTGATGAGGTCTTGCTATGTTGCCCATACAGGTCTGAAACTCAGGGCCTTAAGCAATCTTCCTGTCTCAGCCTCCCAAAGCACTGAGATTAAAGGTCTGTGCCACCATGCCCAAGTACTACACTTTTATATCACAAATTTTACAAAAGTATTTCCACGTTTTGTGCTTTGTCTTTTAAACTTTAAAACAAAAACAGACAGAAATATTTAGTTTCTAGTAGTCAATTTATCAGTATATACCCTGTGGCTAGTTTCTGGCTTTCATCTAATGCCTAGAAAGGTTTTCTCTATTGCATGAAAATAAAACATGTACTCAGATCTTTTTCCTTTTTTAAATAAATCTTTATTACTTTTCATCTTTTCAAAGTATGCATGCTTGTTGTCAAAAATTAAACAAATAAATTAAGGTATGTAGAGTAAATATCTTTATTATGGGTTTTTCTATCCAAGAACAAGGCTTCTCTCTCTCTCCATTTATTCAAATTTCCTTTGTAAAGTGGCCCTCAGGTGAAGGCTTAAATTTCTCCACACAAGTCCTCCATAACTTTATTTCTAGAAAAATCTACTTTTCTTGATGCTACTGGGAATGAAATATTTTCCAAGTCCTGTTGGTACAAAACAAAGCTATTTATTTTTGGATGTTTCTCTTTAACTGGTCATCCTTTCCTGATTAAAAATTGAATAGAATAAAAACTGTTGCCATATGAAGACTCTGCCACATTCATTCCCTCTTGGGGGTTTTTCAATGGATGAATCTGATGATACTTGATCTATTTTGGCATTAACCTTGAGAGTTTTCTACATCTTTCTCATTATTAGGATTTTCCTTCACTATGGACACTCTGATGCTGACTGAGTTGGAAGCTAAACCTGAATGCTTTCCCACACACATTACACATATATGGTTTCTTCCAAGTGTGGACCGTCTGGTGTATAATGTAGTCAGAACTAAAGCTGAAGCCTTTGCCACATTCCACACATCTGAAGGGTTTCTCCCCAGTGTGGCTTCTCTGATGCCGAATTAAATGGGCATTAACATGGAAGGCTTTTCCACACTCCTTACACTGAAAGGGTTTCTCTCCAGTATGGATTCTCTGGTGCACAATATAGTTGGAACTACAGCTGAACGCTTTCTCACATTCCATACATTTGAAAGGTTTCTCCCCAGTATGTATCCTCTGATGCCTAGTTAATTTGGCATTGATACTAAAGGCTTTCCCACATTCCTTACATTGAAAAGGCTTTTCTCCAGTATGGATTCGGTGATGATCAAGTAGATTTCTTTTAGAAGTAAAGCATCTCCCACACTCATTACATTCAAAAGGTTTCTCCCCAGTGTGAATTCTCTGATGCCGCATTAGTTTCCCATTAACACTGAAGGCCTTTCCACACTCATTACACTCATAAGGCTTCTCCCCAGTGTGAATTTTCAGATGCTGTCGAAATTGGGAGTTACACCTGAAGGCTTTCCCACATTCATTACACTCATAGGGTTTCTCACCTGTGTGAATTCTCTGGTGTTGGATTAACTTCCCTTTGACACTAAAGGCTTTTCCACATTCAGTGCATTCATAGGGTTTCTCACCTGTGTGGATTCGCTGATGCTGAATGAGTTTTGTATTATTACTGAAGCCTTTTCCACACTCCTTACACTGATAGGGCTTCTCTCCTGTGTGGATGCTTTGATGCTGCCTAAGCTGGGAGCTGCACCTGAAGACTTTTCCACATTCATTACATTCATAAGGTTTCTCTCCAGTGTGGATTCTCTGATGTTGAATTAATTTTGCATTAACATTGAAAGCTTTCCCACAGTCATTACACTCGTAAGGTTTCTCCCCAGTGTGGACTCTCTGATGTGTAATATATGCAGAACTACAGCTGAAGCCATTTCCACACTCCTTGCACTGATAAGGCCTCTCTCCCGTATGAATTCTCTGATGCCTACTTAGGCTTCCATTAACACTGAAGGCCTTCCCACATACCTTACACTGATAGGGCTTCTCCCCACTGTGGATTGTCTGATGTGTGATATAATGGGAACTGTAGCTGAAGCTTTTTCCACACTCCACACATTTGAAGGGTTTCTCCCCACTGTGAAGTCTTTGATGCCAAATTAATTTCTCATTAATGCTGAAAGCTTTGCCACACTCCAAACATTGATAAGGCTTTTCCTCAGTGTAGTTCTCTTGATGTTGATTAAGCTGAGAGTCACACCTAAAGGGCTCCACTAATTCTTCACATTTGAAAGCCCTTTCCTCAGAATTAATTATTTCATGCTTAACGAGTTTTGTATCAAAGCTGATGGCTTTCCCCAGGCCTGTACACCCAGAGGGCTGCTCTACAGTGATGGTATGACACAGATATGAGTTTGGACTTTGACTAAAAAAACACTCCTCCATGGGGCTTGTCTCATCTTTCACTGTTCCATCAATGGTGTTGCTTTTTTCCTTCTTTATATTTCCTGCAGAGTAGACTTCCTGTTGTTTCTCTAGAAGAGAGGTTTCTAAAAAGCCTGTTTCCTGGGAAAAGTCCCTTTGAAGTTCAAATGATACATCCTCTTTCCCGTAATACATTTCCTTTGTGAAATCACTGTCAGTCTGAATATCTACTATAAAAAACAGAAAACATAAAATGTCATGCAAGAACCATGTTAGAAGAGAACTGTGCTATAAAAGACCATAATAATCAGGGGGCTCCCTAAAATCATTGGACTAGGTCAAAGAACCTTCGGTTTCTCTATAAGGTGGGATAAGTAATATGTAGCTAGTAAAAGAATACAATAAATCCATACACGCTGACAGAAAAAGACATCCAAGATACAATCAAATGGAAAAACAAGTTGAAAAAACAGTATATAGATTTCCATCTGTATAAAGATATAAAAGGCAGATATATATATTTGTACATATCTAGAAAACTTCTAGAAGAATCCACAAGAAACTAAACAAACTGGCACAGGAAATTTGGTGGACTTGCTTCCCCTTTATATATTTTTTGTACTGTTCTGAGTATGTGTCAATATTATAAAGTAATGATAAAAAAAAATCGCCAGTCTCAACTGTGCCTAATGCAATGCCACTGTAGAGAACATAACCAATCATATGAAGGTTAAAAGCGACGGCCAGGCGACATGGCTCACACCTATAATCCTAGCACTTTGAGAGGCCGATTCAGGCAGATTACCTGAGCTCAGGAGTTTGCAACTAGCCTGGGCAACACAGTGAAACCCCGTCTCTACTAAAATACAAAAAAATTAGCCAGGTATGGTGGCATGTGCCTGTAGTTGCAGCTACTCGGAAGGCTGAGGCAAGAGAATTGTTTGAACCCAGGAGGCAGAGGTTGCAGTGAGCCAAGTTCATGTCACTGCACTCCAACCTGGGAGACAGAGTGAGACTCTTGCCTCAAAAAAAAAGGGACAGCAGTGGAATAAAACTCTAGGTCTTGTCCACCAGATCAGCATTCTTTTCATCACACCATGTTTTTTCTACAACCTGCGGTTTAGTTGCTCCTACAGCAGTGAGTTCCTTACTAAAAAAAAAAAAAAAAAAAAAAAAAACTGAAAATGCTGAAGAAGGGAAAGGCACAGGATCCAACAGGATGTGGCTACTTGGGAGATGACAAGAGTCAGCAGCATCAGGAAGCAAAATAGAAATAATTTTGTTTCCTTCCATTCTAAGGAAGGAAACTGTGGACCTTCCAAAACTCCTCCTTCGACTTCATTTCTACTTTACACAGGCTCTATTTAAGGCCCATCTCATCTTATCTCTTCCCTTTCCCCTCCAAATACTGCTGCATTAATCTTGCCTTTTCCTTCACTTCTTCCTCCAAACCTAAACTTGATCATTCCCTAAAAGTCTTTCTACAATCCCAGTAGTCTTTAGAACTAGAACTACTGATCTCTGCATTTGTTCCCAAATTTCTCAAAAGCTTAGCCCCAAAATGTTGCCTCATGTTGTTTCATCTTTCATTATTCTTCAACCATATGTAATATGCCCCCTCGCCAATACTTCATAATTGCCTTCAATAAACCCCTCCAATGGCCTGGATTCCCCAGCAAGTATTTCCAAAATAATATTGGTCTTTTCTCAACTAAAAAAATAATACTCATCCTTTGCTATAGACTGACTGTGTCCTCCCACAAATTCATATTCTGAAATCCTAACCCCTGATGTAATTGTTTTAGGAGGTTGGGCTATGGGAAAACCCTCATGAATGGGATCAATGCCCTTAAAAAAGACCCCAGAGAGCTCCCTAACTTTCCACCATGTGAGGATACTGTGAAAAGATGGCTGTCTATTAGCCAGGAAGCAGGCCCTTGCCAGACAGAACCTGCCTGGACCTTGATCTTGGACTTCTCAGCCTCTAGAACTGTATGAAATAAATTATTGTTGTTTATAAGCCATCAACCCTATGGCAGTCTGTTACTGTAGCCCAAACTAAGACATCTATACTATCCTATGTCTAGTCATCATCTCTGGAATCTATTCCTGTTTTGCTGCACTCTCACCAATACTGAAAATAATTTAATTATTCTCAATATGATAGATAAAATATCTCTCCTTGTTTTAATTTGTATTTCACTGGCTTCTACTGAGGGTGGACATTTTTCACATTGATTTCACATTTGTACTTACGTGGACCAGACACTTATACTGTTTGCCAATTTTTCTACACTGGTTACTTTCTATTTCTCACATCCTGTTGGGTGGCAGATGTCAGTATCCATCTTCCCTTTTTTCTTTACTAGCACATCCTCTATTATTTTGAAGTCACAAAACTCCATTTTCCTCTCTTACAGTGAGAATGGCCATTTGACACAGTTGCAGCAAAGGAAACTTTGCAGATATCATTGGGTGGATTTCTGAACATTTTTAAAAAGAAAGTCAACACTGCTGCCATGGGCCTCATGCCCTTCACTGTCCCTTCTTCTGCCTGCCTAGAGCCTGTTTGATTCCTCATCCCAATTAACCCACACACATTAACTACAATGTTTCTATCCCCAGCTAGGAGCATGATGGGTGCCTGGAAAGGTCAAAGACTTCAGGAGAGTCAGCTGCCTACAGAACGAAATCCAGGCTCCTTCGATTAAGGACCTCACAATATCACTTCATTCCCTGTATTTGTCAAGCACATTATGTGGCAAACTCTCCATTTCCAAAACATGCCTTCCTTGGTCATGTATCATCTGATAGAATGATGAAAAGGAATAAAAACCCATGGAAACCATCTAAGAAAAATGAAGACTCACTGAAAAAAATGCAAGAGAATCTCACAGACTCTAAATGTAAGAAATAACAGGGGGCCTCAGGGGGATAAGAAGCCATCTGGCAGCTACTCTGCTGGCACCAATTAGAGCCCTGCTCCTTCAAGTGTGGTCTAGTAACTAGAAGTACTGGCATCACCACCTCACCAGGAACGTCACAGAAATGCAGACTCCTGGCCCTGCTCCACACTTACCGCATATCTGTAAGACCTCAGGATTCTTTTACACATTCATACTTAAGAAGCACAAAACAAGAGCACTTCCTCCCTTCCACATTACTTTCCCCATGTACAGATGTCTTCCCCAACACCAAAGTAAAAATATTAAACTGAGCACACACTATAAGCTAGGCACTTGATATGTGTTTTCTCATTTAATCCTCAACCCACAAAACTAGCACTATTACCTCCTTTTATTACTAACCCATTTTCAGAGATGAGAACACGCAAATACCCCAATCAAAGTCATACAAACTAAGAAGCAGCGCAGCTGGGACTGGATCTCAGAAAAGTCTCCTCTAAAGACTGTGCTTTTAACCACTTCTGTCTGTGTGAAAATGCTGTTAATTCTGTATCCTCCACACTAAGTGAACAATGCTTAGAAATGGCAGGAACCCCAAAATTGCTGAGTCCATTAATTTTGTCTGAGAAAGGCAGGATTTCAAAATTAGGATTGAAAAGAGTCGGAATAAAGGATTTGAAAAAAGATGTATTCTTGCAATTAGACATAACAAACTTTGAAGACAGACAGAAAGGACTCTACCTATCTCTATGAATTATCAATATTTACTCAAATTTTACTCTGTATGACTGGCCAATAAACATAGCATGTTTCTGCCTAAAGAATTCTCCAACAGAATGGGAAATATGTACCTCCCTTACCAGTCCGGAGGCCATGGAGGCCTGTTCCTGCAGCCAGTGGAGATGGGGCCCCCAGCTCACCTCCTCCCTCCAGTTGTGAGATCACAGCAGGTTTGAGAAGTGGAAATCCTGGTTTGGGAGAGGTAAATAGGAGAGACAGATTAATAATCTCCCACAGATAAATTCCCAAGTCTCTTCTCAGATTGTCTCAGCAATGGGAGGAAAGGTAAGAGCCCCAGGTGGGAGAGCCTGGGAAGGGCCCAGACTGCAGGCCTAGAAGACGACACGCAGGGCAAGCAGGGAGATTCTTCCCAAAGGGATACCACTTTTTGACCTTGGCCTGAAATATCCAGAGTACACTGAGATCCTTGAAAAGACTCAAGATAGGTAAGATGAGAGGGGACCTGAAGATGTCACTGTGGAACAAGAAGTCACTGGATTCCAATGTTTCCAAAACACAGCTACCATGGGTTGGATCAAGAGTGTATGCCAATTCCAAGTGAAGTCCTATACAGGCCTACAAAAGGCTTGGCGTTTGCCCCTGCCAGCAACCCCTAAGTCCAGGAGATTAGGAACAGCTCTGGGGTTCTCATTCAGTAAAGGATTACCAGAGATCCCACCAGTAACCTGTAAGGGAGAAGCAAGCCAGGAACCCCAAATGGCAGAGTCCAGGTTCCCAGGGGAGAGAGGTCTTACCCAGGGAGGCCACATTCCCATAATTCTCCAGCATCACATCCCTGTACAGGATCCTCTGTGCAGGGGACAGGCCATCCCATTCCGCCTGGGTGAAGTACACAGCCACGTCCTCAAAGGTCACCAACTTCTGAAACAACAGGTTCCTGCTGCCCTAGGGCCAATTCCATGGCTCAGGCCCTAAGTGAGGGGCAGAGGGCAGTATAAGGGCTTGGGGAGGGTGCTTGTGAGAGTACAAAATTAATATTAACAACAAGGGAAAGATCTCAGAAAAAAACATGAAGAAAGTAAACTACAGGGTATCCATCTTCTCCCACAGCAGGGAAACTTCATGCCATTTTTTTACACAAATAAGAGGTAACATAAGACAGGCTGACAGAAAAACATTCCATAAGAAAGTGCCTAAAGCCAAGTCCACTCTTTTAGATAGGCTGTTCCCTCCTGGCAAGCTTGGGGCCGACCCACCAGCCGTTCCCACACCATTCCCCTGAGGTCTTGGCTGCCCTGCACCTAAACACAGCCCTGTTCTGCTCCCCCCATCATCCTCATCCTCACACCTCAAGCCACCCCTAAAGATCAGCCATGGCTTCTGTCTCACCCAGCCCGACCTGATTCCCCTCAAAGACCCCACAACCAAGGGGCTGTGCAGCCTCTGCTTGAGCACCTCCAGCCAAGGCTGCTTCATGCTGCCCAGACTGCGGGGTCTCCTGGAAAGTCAGAAATTTCCTTGCCCTCTCCCATTCAAGTCTCAAGCTTTACAATTCTCCGAAACTTCACTGTTTCTCCAGGAACATTTGGGAAAGCAGGGAGACTGGCCTTCCCACTGGCCAGCTACTCTCCCCTTTCCATCAGTAAGCTGTGTGGTTGGCACAAGCTCCGCCACTCAGGGATGCTGCGTGTCACTCCCAGGCCCAACCACTCCTCCTGGGCAGCTGCGGCCTCTGCCAGGCTCACCCTCTGCTCACCTCAGCCTGCTCTAACAGCCATGGGGGCTACGGACAGGGATCTGCCGCTCAAACTCTCTCTGCCAGGAGGTGTCTTTGTGAGCCTACTGACCTCCACCCATCAGCAATTCCAGCCAAACTCTAGGTGTTTCTGTGAGTCTGCTTTGTGTGACCTTGAACAAGTAACTTCTCTGCACAAAATGTAATGTCTTCACTGTGTGCCGCCACCACCACCCCAGTATACTGGCACTTCCTTCTAAACTTATGCCTCAGCTGGGACCAGAATCACCCATACAAGAAACCTCGGCCAGACACCTGGGGATTGTTCTTGACTTGCCGTCTTCCTTATCACCACTAATCCTTTGACTCTCTGTGTCCGAAAGATTTTTTTTTTTTTTTCGAGATGGAGTCTTGTTCTGTCACCCAGGCTGGAGGGCAATGGCATGACCTCAGCTCACTGCATCCTCTGCCTCCCAGGCTCAAGCAATTCTCCTGCCTCAGCCTCCTGAATAGCTGAGACTCAGTGGGATTCTTCTTTATGAAGTGATCATCTTGCTTTTGAATCTTCCTTAAAAATTATTCCATACACATCACAAATCTGACCAAGTTAACATCAGCGGTTCCACAGCTGTCTTATGGCTGAGCACTTCCTAATCACACAATAACTCTGTGATCCTGGGAAAGTTGTTCTACTTGCCCCGGATCACAGAGTTATTTGGTAGAAAGAATACAACACAGCACTTATCACATAGGGCAGCAGTCAGGACTGAAAGACCATACAAAGGACTGAGCATGAGGCCTGCAGCATAGTAAGCCTCCAACAATACAACTGGTATGACTGTGGCAATATTGTTCCCAACTTGTAGTCCATGGAAGTCCATGGATGAGCTTCAGGGGATCCACGAAGTCCCTGAAAGTTTGGTTTGCAGGTTCATTTTTCTGGAGGAGAAGGGGGAAAGCTCTTCTCAGAGACTTAAGTCTGCACCCTAAGCCTTGAAAGCTTCGCAAGAACAATGAGACATTCCGTCCCATGGGACTCCCTGTCTTCCTCCTCCCTTGACTCCACTCCCTGTGACCTTCCCTTTCTCCTGAATTAGAGGCACAGCCATCGTTCTCTGATCTGGTCCTGCTATTCCTCTTCCCTACATCCCCGCCACAGATAGCCCAATCCTCTGCAGACTGTCCTCCACGCATAGCCCTGCACAGAGCATCCCACACAGGCGGCTTCCATGTCCCCATTCACCCAGAGCCCTATGCTGGGGGTGCTCCTGTACAGAGGAGCAGAGACCCTCAGTGTGCAGACCACCGCCTTCCTGCTCTCCCACTCACTCTCCCGCTGCCTCCACTTGCTACTCTCTGGGTCTCTGCTGCCCTCCCTTCACACCACCTCTTTCCCACAAATTCCAGTTCAGGTGGAAGCAGCCAGCATCCCAAGGCTCACCAGCTCTCCTTCTCAATTTTTTTCAATCTGAAACTTCCCAGAGGAAGAGCTGAAGGACCCACAGCTCACCTGGGGCCAGGCTGTCAGGTGCATGGCTGCCATCCCCCCCGTCTCCCTCTCAGAGAAGGGCTGGAGCTAAAGAGAAATAAAAAGAGGGACAAGTATGAGGCAAGCCACCCCCACCAGAGCAACACAGCCCCTCACAGAAAATGCAAGACAGGCAGCTTGCATCCAAACAGGAGTGTGAACAGAAGCCGCCCAAGAAAGGAGTGATCTGTTCACTGGCTCAGTGCCTAGGACTTCAGGCTATGACACTGAAATTCACTGCCAGGAACCCTAGGACTTTACAATTCTGACACATATCACACAAACAGAAAAGTGTATATATAAAATGTAAAAATAAACAAACAAACAAAAATAAAAAAGAAGAAGAGTGTATATAAAACCTGCCAGGCACTGTGGCTCATGTCTATAATCCCAACACTTTGAGAGGCCAAGGCAGGTGGATCACTTGAGCCCAGGTGTTCAAGACAAGCCTGGGCACATGGCAAAACCCTGTCTCTACCAAAAATACAAAAATTAGCCATAGGTGGTGACACATGCCTATGGTCTCAGCTACTCAGGAGGCTGAGGTGGGAGGATCACCTGGGCCAGGGAGGTCAAGGCTGCAGTGAGCCAAGATCACACCACTGTACTCCAGCCTGGGTGATGAGAGTGAGACCCTGACTCAAAAAAATAAAAAATAAAAATAAATAAAATAAAATGTATGCAGAACCTAAAAAAGAAAGCAGAGAGTCATGTATCAACAATTCAGTTCAAGAAATAGGACAGTGTCAAGATCTTTAACTTATTTCTCTTTCTCAAAACAAGCATCATCCTCAGTATCACAGCAGAAGCTGGGTTGGCTGGGCTGCAGCTCCAGTACACAGGCCTGGGGAGTCAGGCCCTAGGGAGGCAGCACCCGGAGAAGACGGCAGCTGCTCCCCAGAATCCTGCCTCATTTCTTCAAAGCTCTGAATGTCCTCAAGAAATCCTAACACCTCTGGAGAGGTCTTGGGAAGTCAGTCTCCTACATGGCCCAAGCTGTCCTTAGGAAGCTAAGCTGGAAGTTAGGGACCAGGCTGTCTCCCATTCTTTCCAGTCTTCTGATAGTGAATGAGCCAAGGCCTAGACTTCTGCCTCAGCTCCTGTGAGAGGAGATCACTGCAGCAGCCAGAGTCCCATGACACAGCGCCTCTTGTTTATTATATTGAAAAACATGTGGACCGGTGATTTGCTGACTTTTACTGCTCCTACAGTCAGTCTTGAAATTACGCTTTCCTAAAATATCATCCATTTCTTCCAGGATTTCAACTTTACTAGTATAGAGTTGCAGAAAATACTGGTTCATGATTCTTTCCATTTCCTCCATATCTGGAGCTAGTTTGCCTTTCCCACTTCTTCTTTTGAATATATGTGCTTTCCAGACTTTTTCCCAAGGTTAGTGTTATGGACTAAACATTTATATCCCTGCCGAATTCATATGTTGAAGCTCTAGCCCCCAACGTGACTGTATTTAGAGATGGGCTTGTGAGGAGGTAGTAATAAATGAGGTCCTAAGGATAGAACTTAAGGTCCTAAGGTTAAATGAGTTCCAATAGGGCTGGTGCCTTTATAAGGAGAGACCCAGAGCCCACGCACCCACTCACTCCGTGTCCCCTCCATGTGAGGACGCAATGAAAGGGCTACTGTCTATGAGCCAGGAAGACAGCCCTGGCAGGAGCCGAAATCAGCTGGCACCTTGATCCTGGATTTCCAGTCTTGGGGACTGTGAGAGATAAATATGCTGGTGAAGCTGCCTAATCTATGGTATTTTGTTATGGCAGCCCAGGCAGATTAACACAGTTAGGCTGAGCAGTGGTTTACTTACTTTACGTGGTTTCCTTTTACTTTCAAGGAACCAGCTTTTCCAGTTGAGCAACACTGCTTTCCTCTATTTGTTTTAAATTCACCAATTCTGCTGTCTTAGTTTGTTCCTTCAGCTCTGTAAGGGGCAGTTTAAGCACCACTCCAATCCTCTTGTTCGATCCTTAGTCCAGTTCTACAGAGGCTTTAGTCAGTTTTGAGAAGGTGCAACCTACCAGGATCTTTACAAGGACCTACACCACCTATGTCTGGTTCCTGCCCTGGGGCTTCTCTGGTATCCTATGTGGGACACCTGTGGACACCTGCTGGGCCCTGAAATGCGGGGGTGTTAACACCTGTGGGACCCCCTTGACCAACAGGGGACAAAAACCAATGGATAAATGTTTTCCCCTTCGGTCCCCCAGCGGTGCAGCCTTAAGACTCCAAGGCTCCTCAAAGACCCTGCAAAGCAGAGCCTGTTGAGGGCCAAGTGTACCAATGCAGACTTGTATCAGTTCTCCCACTCTGTTTCACTCCCCTTGTCTTTCACTCTGCCCCTGTAACCACATTCCTAAATAAGTTCCTACATACAAATCTTTGTTCCATGTTCCACTTTTGGGGAAACTTAAGACTACAAAGACTTTTTTCCTACCTTCTTGAGGTTGCATGACTTATTTATTTTCATTCTTTCCTGTTTGGCAATTAAAACCTATAAGGCCACAAATTTTCCTCAGAATACACTATTTGCCACATTCCAGAGGTTTTTATATTTCACGTTTTAATTACTATTTTATAGTCAGCAATTGTGTTTTGTCTTTCACCTAGTTATTGTTTAGGATAATTTGCTGTTGTTAATTTCTTCTCTGTTTATAAGTTCTGGCTTTATTGCATGATGACTATATAACCCAATCTACTAACTTCTACTTTCCACATTTTTCAGGATTTTTGTGACTCAAGTATCCATGTAAAAATATATATTATCTGGTGTTTAAAGAGAAAACTTATTCTGTGATGGGAGAATATATAACTCCATTTTTAGATAATAAACCAATTCTACCAATTACATATGTAGTGTGATGGATACCCCGCTCAGCTAGTCAAGGTTGTACAGTCAAGGGTGTACACCTGCTGCCTGAACTTTGACGGCCAGGCAGTGAGCCAAGACCACAGGGCTCAGCAGAGGAGCAGGTGTTTGCAAGAATGCAAACATTCTAGAGAGTATATGAGAACCTACCAAGAAAAGTTTTATTGTTTAAATGCAGTAGGCAAAGAGCCAGAAAATTAGCTTAAAAGTACTTAGAGACAAGGGGCACCACAGATCTCTAAAGCTGTCCTGCTGCCATTCAAGAGTAAGTACGTAAGTCCTAATAAATTCATCTACTTGCCAAGCTGGATTTGTTCAAAGCATTCTTTGGTCTCTTGGCTCCCTCCCAGTTTAGAGGAAGGTTTTCAAAAATATGACTCCAGGTTTTTTCTTGTTACAACATTGTATAGATTTTCTACATAATCCTAATTACTTTTACCTAATTAAACCAAGACAGCCAGTGAAGAGCTAACTTTCGCAAAACACTGAGTTCAGATGTGTCATTAGCAAATCCATTCAAATGTTTCAGAAATAATTCTAACATGATGTAAACTGTAGCAGAGCACAGCAAAATAAGTTTCCCAATTCTTTTTGTGATGCCAGCACAATACTGATACAAAAACTACAGACCAGTCTCATTTATGAATTCTAATGCAAAAATTCTATCAAGGAATAGACTCCAGTAGTTCATTAAAGTAATACATCATGAGTAAGTAGGATTATCCCTTGAAGATAAACCAAGCTCAATGTTAGGATACAAATTAGCATATTTTTCACATTAATAAATCAAAGACAGATAAACACACTGTCCATCTCAACAGATGCCAAAGGTATTTAATATAATTCAACATTCATGCCTAACTTTAAAAACTTACACCCTAGAGAAACTCTCATATGTAGGAGGTATGCACAAAAATATTCATTATCAGCATTATTTTAATAGCAAAACACTGAAAACAACCCACATGTCCACTGAAAATACATCGACAAATTTTCATACAGTTTTTACAATGGAACATTACCACATTACCCAGAAGCTACACAGAATGAATTTGGAAACATAACATTGAATTATTCGAGTCACTTATGACTTATACACACAATGGTGCTATTTATGTAAAGCCCAAAAACAAAAAAAGTTTAAGTACATTGCTTACAGATACACGCATATGTAATTATCTTTAAAAATAATAAGGCTACAATTAACACAAAATTCAAGACAACTTTTACCTCTAGGGGTGGGAGACTGGGAGTTGGGGTGAGGAAGAGGAACTCATTGATAAATTCAGCAGTACTGGCAATGTTCTGTTTCTTAATTGGGCGGTGTGTTCACGGATGCTTTTTACTACTACAGTATATAACATATAACATATAAATATATATTTTTAAATAAATATATAAACCAGCGAAGATGGGGTGAAAGTGAGGACCCAAAATGTAGTACAAAGAACAGCCAGTGTGGCTAACAATACTACAATGAACATAGCCACACTTAAGTGGTAGGAAAGAAGTAAGAAACTTTGGAAAACAGTATTTTGACTGAAACTCCGTAAGATTAAAGACAAAAAGACCTGTATCCAAGTACTGTACTTTAGGTAGTGAATTTGCTTTTCATGAGGGTATGAATTAGCGATTCTGAAACTACTAAATATATTCTAAAACTGACTGAATTTGTAATCACTTTGTAGACGTCATTCCCAGGTCACTGTCACCCCAGAGCCAAAAGAAGTAGGGCTGAGTTACCTTTTGGGACTGACACTGCTGCAGGAGACAGTGTCCTCCAAAAGCCGGGCTTCTTCTGCTGCCGGGTGACTAGGAGGGGCTCTGTACTCCCACTTGGCCCTAATTCATGACCCCATGTCAGAAGCCTGGGAGCACACGGTCCATACTTGGGATGCACATAGGTTAATGTTCCTGCCAGACCTCAACTCATCAAAAGACTTGCACTATCATCCAGGGCAGCTTCAGGCCCACAAATATTCCACCCTTTAGCTGCACCACGCATCTTCCCCCAGCAGACCAAGTGCTAAATGCCCGGGGCCTCGTGGCTGTGACAGCAACACAGGCTTCCCGTTCCAATTGGTGCAACCTATTGGGCCACAAAGACGAAAGCTGGAGTCGAGAAGCGCGGAAGAGCACCCCGGGCCGCCTCCCTGCTCCCTCTCCCAGCCTGGGCCTCCTGGCAACACAGGCCACGGGAGACCCAGCTCCACCCAGGGTAGGAGTGCGTCCCAACCGGACCCAGAGCCTAGGGAACAGGGAACAACGCAGGGTGCCCGCAGTTCTGCACTCACCCCCGGAGCAGGCGGCTCCCCGGCGCTGCCGGAAGTGCGTCACCAGGCGGCCTGGCCTCTCTAGGAGCAAGGTCTCTTCTTCTCGGTGTTGCTCTCTCCGGGTCCCCTGCGGCTGCAGCCTGATCGATCCTCAGGCTCCGGTGTGGCCCATGCTGACTGTTAGCCCTGGGTTAAGACTTCCCCTGATGGGGAAGGCAAGAATCAGAGCCAAGCGGGGACCCAGCCTGGGAAGTAAAGCTGCAGGTGCAGTCTGGGAGTCTTGGAACTGGACCCGTGGATGGCGCGCTGTCACATCCAATGCCCGCTTTTTCTAACAAATAGTTTGTAATGTCCATCGTATTCTCCTGACCTGATACTCATACATAAAGGCCTAGAAAATCATACATAACATACACACCTACATAATAAAAACTAATGTTATACCTTAAAGGTTATGAAAGAGAAAAAAAAAAAAGAGGAACGTCATCTGTCGTTTAAAAACACATACTTCAATGTGTTTGGTCATGACTGCTGCAGGAGACCTAACAAGGTGGTCCAGTAGTCGCCTTTACACTTAGACGCTGCCCGAATGCCACAGCCACAAAGCTGTGACTTATATTGTTTCAAAAATCACAAAAACTGATCCAAAATGGCGAACACTTTTTGGTGAAATTCTGAATGAAACACAGGATGATCTTCTCTTGACTATACAATAATTACATTCCTGGAACATCAGTGTATGTTAAAACTGTGAAAAATGCATGTTTATCCAGAAAACAGGTTTAGATTCAGATAATTTCGAAATAGAATTTTCACCTACCTGAATGTTCAGCAAGACATTTGAAACTGTGAACATTTTTTCAGTGGGCAGGACTGTCCTGTGCATTGCAGGATCCTGGCTCCGATCCACAATGCTGGTAGAAATGCTATCACCGCCAGCAAATACAACAAAATACCTCCCATAAAATTACAAAATGAGCCCTGGGGGAAGGGAGACAGTACGAAAAGCCACTGGATTGGACGACCTTTAAATCTCCACCCCCTCACACACCCCTAATGCAGGCTTTTCTTCCTTCCAGCTCTGATTTATCCAACGCTGCTGCACTAGAGAGTGGTGTTTGCCCCCACTCACCTCTGTGGCCTCTTATGACTCCCATTGATTCCCTGACTCAACTTCAGCCCACATGCTAAAAATGCTGGCAAATCTAGAATGCTCTTCCCTTCCCATTCCTACCCTCCATCTTGACTGTTACTGGAAGTGTGAGTGCAAATCCCATTTCCCATGGGAAGCAAGCCTTTCCTGATCACTCATAATAAGGCAGGATGTTCATTTATGTGCCATCCCAGCACTGTGTGCTCATTTAATGGTGATAGCTTATTTATATGTCTGTCTTCTCTGGTGGCTCCAAGGAACAGACACCATATCTATCTTGTCCAACATCATCATCCTCAGCTAGAGGATAATCTGACAGAAAGGAGAGCAATAAACATTCGTTGTTGACATGGTCCAAAGGCTCCAACCCTAACTCTTAAGCAGAAGCCAACTTTTGTGTGTCCCCAAAGGAGAATGAGGGTAGGATATGTCTTATGCCTCAGATCATGACAGTGACCATGACCAGGCACACCCTTCTCTGCCTTGTCATGACCTTGGTCTTCACTGTTTTTCAAAATAAACTCACTAAGAAAATGGTTCCCATGATTGGGCAGAGTGATAGCTGGAATTACGTTGCTCTTGTCAGTAAGTTCTGATTTTCACTTCTTTGTAGGCTCAGTAATCAGGAGTGAAACTTGTTGAAAGAAATAGGAAGGAATCAGATCACATAAATGCTGGCCCCAAAGGTTTGCATCATAAACCCATTGCCTAATTTTATAGATAAGAAAATGAAGCTCCCTAAATAACCACAAAACTCCTACTCCTACTTCAGACATATCAGAAAAATTAGATAATAATGCACAAACCAATTTACAAAAGCTTTATGGTAGGTATGGAGAGATGGAGACCAGTTCATGTCTGTCAACCCCTGTTCTTCCATTCTTATACGGTTACAGAATCTCTAGCAAGGAATGTGACAGCTCAGGGGAAAAGCACACATTTCCCAGAATTCTTTAAAGCAAAGTGTGTCCATGTGACCAACTTCTGGCAAATAGGCTGTAACAAATTGTGATGCTGAATCCTTAAAGACAAGGGACATGCCCTCCCTAGCCCTAAATCTTCATCGACCAGGTGGAATGTTGACAAGGGAGAAAATCTTGGACCAATGCAAATAAGGGTATGGCTGCTGGGAATGACAGAGCAGTTAAAAGGAGGAGGCACAGAGCTGCTATATCAGCCCCAGATGGCTTACTTTCTGATGGTACATGAGAGAGAAATAAACTTTCATCAAATTTAAACCACAACTTATTTGGTTCTTCAAATTAATTTCCAAGCCCATAGCCTAACTAATATCCCTAAAAATGAGGAAAGATGGAACAAATACATAATACAACAGTTAAAAAATTAAGCTGGCTCTTCGACTTCAGCATTCTAGAAGTTCATTTCCTTGCCAGGCCTGCAGCCACGTAGTATCAGTTTCCTCCTGCTCAGCTCTAAGGCTTCTTCTCCTGTACCCTTTGTCCCTGCATCCCCAAGACCTCCCTAAAACCTTTCCCCTCTGACCACCAAGGAAAACTGACAGTCTTCTCATGATAAAAAATTATTTTTGTTGTTTCCAGTTTTAATAGGACAGAGTAAACATGGTTTGGGCTGCTGCTTCTCATGCAAATTGTGGCAAAACAACAGTCTGGTTGGTGTTCATTCCAGGAGTTCAAGGCTGTTTTTATGTTATAAATTTTTTATTTACTTATTGATGTTGTGAGTTATATGAACAAATCATTTAATCTATGTGAAGAAATGTACTAGGGTAGGGAGAGGTCTTATTCTCAAAACAACCAAACATATATATGAATGTTTACTAATAAATGCTTAAGACATACATAAAGAAAATTTTAAACACTTGGGGACTAAACCAATGAAAACCAGTTGTGTAAGTGGAAAGGCACAGGTAATTCCTCAGTAGGAAGTGTATTGTTCTTTATTTAATCGAAGTCCAATGTTATACCAAATAAAACCCCTAAAGAATTTGTTTTAAAACTTGTGAAAATGATTCTAAAACTTGTGTATAAAAAAATGTTAGATGCAGCCAGGCACAGTGGCTCACATCTATAATCCCAACACTTTGGGAGGACGAGGTGGGCAGATCACCTGAGCTCAGGAATTTGAGACCAACCTGGCTAACATGGTGAAAACCCATCTCTACTAAAAATAAAAAAATTAGCCCAGCATGGTGGCACACACCTTTAACTCCAACTACCAGGGAAGCTGGGGCAGGAGAACTGCTTGAACCAAAGAGGCAGAGGTTGTAGTAAGCCAAGATCTTGCCACTGCACTCCAGCCTGGATAACAGAGTGAGACTCCATCTCAAAAAATAAAAAACAAACAAACAACAAACAAAAAAAGGTACTTATAAGGTACTACTAACACTTAGGAATGCACAAGTATTGAAAGTTAAAGAGGCCAGGTGCAGTGGCTCACGCCTGTAATCCCAGCACTTTGGGAGGCCAAGGTGGGCAGATCACAAGGATGAGTTCAAGACCAGCCTAACCAACACAGTGAAACTCCGTCTCTACTAAAACTATAAAAAATTAGCTGGGTGTGGTGGTGCACACCTGTAGTCCCAGCTACTCAGAAGGCTGAGGCAGGAGAATCGCTTGAACCCGGGAGATGGAGGTAGCAGTGAGCCAAGATCACACCATTGCACTCCAGCCTGAGTGACAGAGCGAGACTCCATCATAAAAAAAAAAAAAAAAGTTAAAGAATGCAAAATAGATATATCAGACAAATATGAAGTTAAAGAGAAAATGGCATAGTTATATTAATATCTTACAACAGTGAGTTTAAGACAATAAATATTATTCTATTCTATTCAGAATTCTGTTGAGGGCTATGTAGCAAATAATATCAATGAGAATCTCGAAATTTAGAATAAGAAATAATATTCAACATCATTTTAAATACTTAGCTCACAGGAAAGTGTACCCAGGTACCAAACCAAACAAGAAACTAAAACCAGAGGTGCTGGTTTGGCCTGAAGAGTTCAGCTGATGCTTTGGCCAACATGAGTGGGAATGGTGAAGAGTTGTAAATCTTGATATCTGAGAAAACAGAATTGTAATATATAGGAGGCAGGCATGAAGCAAGGAATAGAAACAGATATTTTTCTCACACACATATACTCATCCAAATTCCTGGACCCATGAAAGGATAAAACTTTTTAAAATCTCATGAACAAAGAGAGATAACAAAGAATCTTATGGTCCTTGCCTAAGCTTTGAAGTGTTAATAGAAATATCCCTAAAAATTTATAATCATAGTTTGTACCATTAAGTATAGAGTTTAAATTAATACTACCTACTTTGGCCAGTAACTCATAATACACGAAATTACATTAAAAACTAATCCTGATAGACTTCTGAAATAGTCACAACAGAATTAGTAGGAAATGACATTTAAAAGTTATTACAACCACATCTGATAAATCTAAAAGGTTAGTGGAGAAATGAAAGATATAAAAATGACCCAAATCAAACTTCTAGAGATGAAAATCTGTAATGTGCAATAAAAATACATTGGATGGGATTAACATCAGATGAGACATTACAGTAAAAAAGATGAGTGAATTTGAAGACATAGCAATAGAAACTATTCAAAAAGGAAACACAGAGAAAAAGAAATTGAAAATAAATGTACAGGATTGAGAAGTCCTGTTTTCTTCACTTACGAGCTATGAGACCTTGGGCAACCACTTAGCTTTTCTGAAATTCCATTGATTCATCTGAAAAATGAAGTAATAATGCATAGTTGCTGTAAATACTACACATGCATACAACATAAAGTACATACAACAGGGACCAGGATTCAGTAGTTGCTCAATTAATGTTACTTTTCCCCTCCTCTAACTTATTTGTGGACCTGATTATACCTTTTGTCAATAAGGGAGTTATTAATGCATAAGTTTGTAAATATGACATATTATAACTAGGAGAAAGACCTACAGTGCCAAACTCCTTCCAAGTTTTTTGTGCATAACCTCACAGAAACTTGCTGACAACAATCAAGTTCAGAAGCTTTTTACCACAGAGAAAGCAGATCCAATCCATTGTATGTTTCTGAAAGGAGATTAACAGGTGGGGGTTAGCAAGTGAAAAGAGGATATAAAAAAGAATCAAGGAGCCTGTCTCCAAATGAATACAGTATACCTTCTTTCTCACATGCATTGCCTGATAGTTTGCTTATATGTGTCTAGGAAGAGCCCTGACCATTCTTCCTTAGGTAGGACAGCCAGTTAGTACACATTTTCCCCAAATTTGAAGGATGTGGGCCTCCAGAATAACACAATTATACTAGGTACCAATCCCACAGAGCTCCCAAGGGAGTAGGTCCAATTATCAGCGCTGATGCTGAAGTTCCTAGAAAGAGAAAGAATCCCAACCCCCACCTTGTCGTAAAGAACCTTCTAAAGGACTGCTGACTTTAGAGGATTACAATTGCCAGGTACACAGGAGTCGAAAGTCCCAGGAAATTAACAGTGACCACTGCAACGTGTGTTGATAATATCATCCAGGTACAAGGGATGGCAGTACAAAACAACGAAGCCGTGGTGCTGTCCAAGGTGCTAGTTCCAGCTCTTTCGGGGTGTCTGTGGAGCTCTCCAAGGTTCTGGGGCTGCCTCGGAACCATCGTCCTCCAGACTGGTGCTGCTCCCCTCTGTGAGCGGTGGCTCACACCTGTAATTCCAGCACTTTGGGAGGCCAAGGCGGGCAGATCACCTGAGGTCGGGAGTTCGAGACCCGTCTGACCAAGAAGAAGAAACCCCGTCTCTACTAAAAATACAAAAAATTAGCTGGGGTGTGGTGGCGCGTGCCTGTAATCCCAGCTACTTGGGAGACTGAGGCAGGAGAATCGCTTGAACTCGGTAGGTGGAGGTTGCAGTGAGCCAAGATCATGCCATTGCACTCCAGCCTAGGCAACAAGAGCGAAACTCCATCTCAAAAAAAAAAAAAAAAGCAAGGTGTGTTTAGGAGATAATATCAAGGGATATTTCGTTACCTCCATTTTAACTGGGAGATATGGAAAGGCCTGAGGAAGTGACCTTGGGCTGAGACTTGAGAAATATGAGCGAGATATCTGGGCACATAATCAAAGAGAGAACATTCCAAGCAGGAGGAATAACAAATTCGTAGGCCCTTCAGTGGAAAAAAAGAAAGCTTGACACATCATGGGTAGAGAAGAGGGAGGAGGTGCAATCATTGGAGCTTTGCAGCTCATGTTAAAGAGCTTGGATTTTATTTCAAGGTCAATGGAAACACACTGAAATTTTTTAAGAGAAGCATGTTATGTTTTATATTTTTAAAAGCACACTCTGGCTGCTGATTGGCAGATAG